AGATCTAAAGGCCTAGAACACAAGAGTACTATGCTCTGGAGTCAGCGCATGCGTAGGCAACCGAAAAAAGTCAAATAAGGCTTCTTGTTGTTGGACCAGAATTACTTCAAAAAACCTCCATGAAGGTCATCTCACCCCCCTTGGGTTTTCTTACCTTTTTCTTATTTTATTTTGTTTTGTCATTTTCTTTTCTTTTATTTATTTGCCTTAGTTTTTTTATTAACATAATTAACCAACTAATATTTTCATAAAAAAAAATAGAATTAATATTATTACTATTTTATTTGTAAATAAATATTAACAAATAAATAGTTTAATTAGGCAATTTCAATTTCTTTTCTTAATAATTAAAATGGATTTAGAATTAGGAAGAATTAACTTTTAGTTTTATTTCTTTTCATTTTATTTCATAAAAACATAAAACACAAAAAATGTATTTTCTTTTAATTAAATTAATTAATTAGTCATTAATTAGCTTTAATTTCATTTTAATTACAAAAAAGACCAAAAAATCAATTTCTTTTCTAAAAGGGTCAACACCCTTAAGACATTCCCGATTCTTCTTTCGCGCGCATTTTAATTTTAATTCCTTATTTTGGATTATTATGTAATTGCCTCCGGATGTAATAATAATTAGGACTTTTACTGTTTTTATTTACTTTCCGTACTTATTTACTAAAAAAACGGGTCTTTGTAATTTTTGGCAATGTATAGACCCGCGCCTTGTAATAGCGTAGGATTTATGTTTCCGCAATTTACTTTCCGCACCCCTTAACTGCTAAACTTGCATGAAAGAATGTATATAAATGAAAACAACTCGTAGCTCACTAATTACAAAGACAAATATTAAACTGAATACAACACACAAATACACACACCACTTCTAGGGTACGCCTCACTTGTTGCCTTCGAAACGTGGTCGTCAAGTATAAGACGTATTGACGGTCCTTATGTCCATGATCCAGTTGCCTCGAAACAGTTGCCTCGAAACAGTTGCCTCGAATCAGTTGCCTCGAAATAGTTGCCTCGAAACGGTTGCCTCGAATTAAAAAAGGATCAAGGACATAAGGGTAGCCTCTAAGGTGTCTTGCTGTTGCTTCGATGACCACACTGTCCCTAAAATCGAATTGACCAAACACCTCCAACGGTGGTGCTACCTACCTCTCAATGGTGGGATGACACAACCTAAAGGACACTTACACAGCTTAATTCCTTAGGGTAGGTAGATGACTCATGGGTACTTGCTCTTTTCAAAAAATAAACAAAATACTTTTCACACCTTACACTTTCAAAAGCTTTCAAAACAAATTTTTCAAGCACTCTTGAGAACAGATACAAGAGTTATTCAGAAATCTTTCAAAGAAACTTTTTTCAAACCCACTCACATTTTGAAAAGCAAACATTTTGAAAACATAAGAGCAAGTACCTAAGAGCCCATGGATAACCATGGATAGAAAGGGTGCTAACACCTTCCCTTTCTATAAATCTACCTCCCGAACCGAGAAACATTCTCATAAGGAATTTTGCTGTGCTTTTGTCCTTTCCATGTTGGAGAAAATAAAAGACGGTGGTGACTCTTGCTTCCGCGACATTTCGTGAAACCAGCTAAAAAACAGTCCGTTCTATTTCCACCGATCACACTAGCTTACTCGAAGTTCTTCGGGTTTCTTATTTTTGCTTGCTTCCTACAGATTATTATACGTTTGGTATTCCACTGCCTCCTTTTTGTTTCTTTCACTCTTTACAATTTTCTAGGTAGTTCTGGGAGCCCCCATGGTGGCAAAGTCGCTGTTTAAACACTTGTAGCAGGCATTATGCACTCTATTTGCTATATGTATTGTGTCTGTGTTTGCTTCCTTGATTGTTGATCGATGAGTCACTCAATTTTGAAATTGAGATCACGACTCCGCTCTCAGTGCATGCTCCCTATAGGATTTTATCGCTTTTCTTTATTTTTTGTTGATCGATGAGTAACTCAATTTAAAAATTGAGATCATGACTTCTCTCTCAGTGCATGCTCCCTATAGGATTTTATCACTTTCCTTTATTTTTTGTTGATCGATGAGTCACTCAATTTAGAAATTGAGATCACAACTTCGCTCTCATTGCATGTTCCCTATAGGATATTTTTGTTAGACTTTCTTTTACATGTTGACCTAGATAGGATTTCTTTAGGTGTGCTCTCTTGAGCCGTTTGATTGTTGATTTGTTTTCCTACCTTGACCCTCAACGTCTTGGTTAGGCATTTGAATTGGGTTAGTGTGCTCTACTCATAACACATTGTGTATGCTCTCTTGAGCCTATTGACTTGCTTACTTGATTTCATCTTTGTGTGCATGTTTTTAGATGATATACCCTCGGCATGTTCTCTTAGGAGCTCTCGATTCATCTATAGATGATAATTCAATATAGACATAGTTTTAGGTGATAGACCCTTGCTATGCTCCTTTAGGACTTCTTGATTCATCTATATATGATGATTTGAGATAGACATTAGGATTGTTATCCATGCATGTCAACATAGGGTGGATATTTCTCTTCAAGACTCAACTTTAGGATCAATCATTGTATGATAACATTAGGGATTAGATTTAGATAGTCTCCCTTAGATGTTTTCTTTTCTTTTGCATCCTTTGCATTTAAAATAATTTTTTTTTGCCAAATGCATAAAACATCTAAAACTTTCAAATCCTTTTTTTAATGTAAAAAACACCAACCAATTCCTTTCTTTTTGCCAATCGACTTTTCTCTTCTAAGAGCGTGTTAGTTCCTTTCAACTACAAGTCGTAAGTCTCCAAAGGTCGAGCCGCGGTGGAATGATTGAATCTAACAATGTTTAAATAAAAAACACAAACTCATGAAAACAAGTGAGCCGAACTACGGCTGCTCTGATTCCTTAAAAGGGATACGTAGGCATTGGGGTAGGGCCCGAACGAGCACAACTTTATTTTCCCTACATTATTTTCTCTTTTCTTTTGCATGCATTCCCTCTTTCTTTTTACTTTAAACCTCAGACATAGACTTTCACCACACTCATTAGATTAGAGCAACATGAGTTAATACCGTAGAGTACTACGGGCGTGTGGGTGCTAATACCTTCCTGTCACGTAACAGACTTTCTTACCTGATCTCTCGGTCGTTTGACCGTGATTTCACCCTTCTCAGGTTTACTCGATGTTTATGTTTCCCTTCCCGTAGGATAAAAAACATTTGATGGTTACTTCATTGATTTCATTATCAATTAACAGTTCAGCTGATTGTTTCACATATCATGACCCAACTGGATATCAAAGTCTTGTAGGAGCATTGCAATATTTAACTTTCACAAGACCTGATATCTCTTATGTAGTATAACATGTATGCCTATTCATGCATGATCCTAAAATGCAACACATGACATCACTGAAGCGTATAATTCAATATATTCATGATACTATTGATTTCTGCTTTCACTTGTATCCCTCATTTGTCAGCAAATTGGTTTCTTACACTAATGTAAATTGGGATGGTTGACCAGACACTAGGCGACCCCCCTCTGGTTACTGTGTCTATCTTGGTGACAATTTAATTTCATAATCTGCCAAACACCAGTATGCCCTCTTTAGGTCCAGTGCAGAAGTTGAGTATTGTAGAGTCCCTAATGTAGTATCTGAGTTTTGTTGGATTAGAAACTTACTATTGGAACTATATTGCCCAATCATAAGTTACTTTGGTCTATTGTGACAACGTGAGTGATGTCTATCGATTTAGCAACTCATTTCAACATCAGCACATCAAACACATCGAGATGAATATACATTTTGTGCGTGAAAAAGCTGTCTGCGGCCAAGTAGGAGTCTTACATGTCCCCTCACGTTACCAAATCGCTGATATCTTCACCAAAGGACTTCCGTTACAACTCTTTGATGATTTTCGTGATAATCTCAACATTCGTCATAATAAATAGATATAAAATTTGAATATATTTATATATTTATATGACTTTAGATACACTAATACACAATACACATCAAGAAATACAAGGGAGTGTTTCAAATTGAATTTTATTATACAAATCAACTTAACTCATTTCGTTAAATAACGCTTGCTTAATACAAGGAGAAATTAAATGAAAAACTTCCTAAATCAATGATTGACTAATTCAGCTAACAAATACGCAATCATATTTGAAATTGAATTTCGAAGATTGACAATGTACTTATTTCATGAAGCTACAAAATATGGCTTCATAATTTTTACATTAAATGTGTACTAAGATGTGATAATCCGGAGTCATTATCAAACATTAAATGTGCATTTGGATGTAATAAAGACTTATCATCAGACATTTTGTCAACAAAAAAAAATCAAAACAAGTAAACTTTGCTGGCTTTGTTGAATTTTCTACTCATATATAGTATTGCAATAATTTAGAAAATTTCAGTCGCATCCCATTGAAATTCAAAGATGATTTATTCCTTAGAAATTAAGTAAACATATAAGCGAACAGTCTGAGATGTTTTCAACAACTGAGTCATCTGAAGAAATTTCTTAAAAGTTACTCATAGGAACTCTTCAATTAAGGAGAAATTTCAATTCCCCCAACCTTTTAAAAATCATTAACCTACATTTTATAAAATCATTACATTATTTTTTTTTCCCCACTTTTTTATTAGAAAAACTTTGACTTAAAGTTGTAGTAAAATGGACAGTTATAATTATAGAAATATTTCTTACTATATATATTGATGTATAGTGAGTAAATTCAAAACTGAGTGCATGAATGTGGAAATAGTAGAAAGTTATCTCTTATTATTGCTTCAATTATTTATGGTCAATTTCTTAACAAGATGCAAGCACGAGGAATCTTCCATTCTGCTACCTTGCTTAGCACGATAGAGACTTTTCATAGAAAAAATGGTCCAAGTTATAATCTCCCACTATAAATTTAGCACTCTGTCATGGTTAGTTATACCTTCAAAAATTATAACTGATAATTGAAAATAATTGTATCCTTGAATATGATTAAACTAGGAGTGCTTGTTTGTTCGAGTTTGCCTTTATATTTGATTTGCTTTGTGGAGTCCATAGTTCAGTTTTTTGATGCTTCTCAATCACACATCACTTCAGCATCCAAAGAAAATATGCTAAACATGAAGAAAGAGGATGCATCAACCATGGCTAATGCTGCAGCCCAAAATCACTTTCGAAAAATCCAATACACATGCTAATAGGGTGTTATTTAATTAACAGTTTTGGGATAATATATGGTATTTAGGAATCGCGTCTAATCTTGTTAGGTTTTTGAAAGATTTTGGGGGAATTTTCTTTAAGTTTGGCAACTGTGTTTCTGTTGTTATGTGGGTGGTTTTTGCAATATATAAAGTATGTTGACTTTTTGTGAGTATACAAAAAAACCAATATATTAAGTATGTTGCCCTTATTTATAGATTACAGAACATTACAAGGAGGCCACATTGTTATATGATTGTAAAAGAACCATAATATAATTGCCTAATGCGTTTTACGGACTAAATACAGCTTCTGATCATCCTTAATCATGCCCACGTCAATAATTTTACCAGCATCTTCCGATAAAATACAAGAGTTGCTAGAAAATCCTATCTGTTCTGCTGCTGTTTTGATTAGCTCTTCAATGGTGTGTGGAACCCATAATGCTATTCCATTTCTTCTAGAATCTTTTGGATCCCATGGGTGGAAAGGGAATACTGTGCACTTCTTTGGATGTACTTTATCTGGAAAAATGGAAGATACATTTAATATTTGAGTTTACATCAAAACGTGATCAAGATTCAAGAAAAATGAGATGCATATTAAATTGGAACTAGATGTAAAGGGTGGAACTAAATGCATTTTTTTCATCTGCTCCCTCCTCCCAAATCGCTCCCATCTAAACTCCGAAACAGAGACTAAATCTCTTTAAATTGTTATATAGTCCATTCTATTTGTTGATATTTGTAAATATATAATGTTAAAAATATTTGTACGTAGAATAGTCTTACATCGATTATATAGTGTAATTAATTGTAATCTCTCTATATATAATAAAGTCTCCGTAGTGTTTTCAGAAAACACAGTTTAACTTAAATGTCTTTTAGTCTCTCCTAAATGTCTCTCAGTCGTTTAACTCGTTCCCTTAATTGTTCTATCACTTTTACTAACAGTGATGTTATTCTGCAGGATCGAAGTTCGGGACAGACGATTGCCATTGGATGTGAGTCTCAAGGCCTCTACTACTTCTCTACGTCATCTACCACATGCTCCACCACAGATTTTCCACTCATTATACATGCGCAGTTAGGTCATCCAAGTCTTCTCAAGCTACATAAATTGGTGCTCAGTTTATCTAAATTATCTACTTTACAGTGTGAGTCTTGTCAATTAGGGAAACATACTCGTAGTCACTTTCCCGATCGAGTCAATAAACGAGCTGCGTCCCCTTTTACTTTAGTTCACTCCGATATTTGGGGGTCCATCGCGTACTGTGTCTGCTTTTGAGTCTAGGTATTTTGTAATATTTATTGATGATTTTTCACGTTGCACGTGGCTATTTTTAATGAAAAACATATCTGAGTTGTTTTCTATGTTTGAACAATTTTATCGAGAAATAAGAACCTAATTTGGTTTGTCCATTCGTACCTTAAGAAGTGACAATGCACGTGAATATTTATCCCAACAATTTCAAACTTTTATGTCATCCAATGGTATTCTACACCAAACATCTTGCCCTCATGCACCTCAACAAAACGGGGTAGCCGAACGCAAAAACCGGCATCTCGTAGAAACCACTCGGACTCTACTTCTCTATGGTAATGTCCCTCTCAGATTTTGGGGGGATGTTGTGCTCACGACGTGTTATCTCATAAATCGCATGCCCTCATATGTCCTTAATAATAAAATCCCTCATTCAATCTTGTTTCCAAACTCTCGTCTTCACCCAATTCCTCCTCGAGTCTTCGGGTCTACATGTTTTGTGCATAATCTCTCCCCTGGTCTTGATAAACTATCAGCTCGATCACTAAAGTGTGTCTTTCTTGGTTATCATCGATCCCAAAAAGGTTATCGTTGCTACTCACACACTCTGCAACGATACCTGATATCGGCCGATGTTACGTTCTTCGAGTCTGTGCCATATTTTGCGTCCACCCAAGTCACTCCGGAACCCCTTCAGGAAAGTACTCCCAAACCTCTTCCGGACGTCCCATTTTCCATTATTCCCCATCATTCTAGGGAACCTATCCTACGAGAAACCCATACGGTTGATCCTCCCACTTCTCACCCGCTTCAAACATATCAGCGTCGTAAACCAACGTCTGTCATACCTGTCCCTGAGGTTGTACATGTCCCTGAGGCCGTACATGTCCCTGAGGCCGTACATGTCCCTGAGGCCGTACCTGTCCCTGAGGTCATTGCAGACTCTCCTCCGACGCTATCGCCATCACCATATTCGATCCTGCAACCTAAGTCTGATCTTCTGATTTCCCTTCACAAAAGTATACGTCAAACACGAAATTCTTCTCCACATTATATTGATTTATGTTATCATCGTCTTTCCCCTTTGCAGTATACTTGTTTGTCATCTTTGTCTTCTGTTTCTATTCCTAAATCTCCAGGTGAAGCATTATCTCACCCTGAGTGGAGGCAAGCAATGATTGATGAAATGTGTGCTCTTCAAAGCAGTGGTACCTGAGAACTGGTTCCTCTACCCACTGGAAAATCTTTAGTAGGTTGTCGTTGGCTTTATACAGTAAAGGTTGGTCCAGATGGTAAGATTGATCGTTTTAAAGCTCGCTTGGTAGCCAAGGGATACGCTCAGATTTTTGGATTGGATTATAATGATATCTTCTCGCCTGTAGCCAAGATGGCATCTGTTAGACTTCTTTTAGCCATTGCAGCCATTCGACATTGGCCTCTTCATCAACTTGACATCAAAAATGCATTTTTACATGGTGATCTTGAAGAGGAAGTATATATGGAGCAACCACCCGAGTTTGTTACTCAGGAGGAGTTATCGATTATGGTTTTTAGGCTACACAGGTCTCTTTATGGTCTTACGCAATCTCCGAGAGCTTGGTTTGGCAGATTCAGCACTGTAGTACAACAATTTGGTATGGTCCGTAGTGAAGTTGACCATTTTGTCTTTTATCGTCACTCAGTCCAAGGGTGTATTTATCTTATTGTGTATGTAGATGATATTGTCATAAATGGTAGTGATGAGTCGGAAATACTCCAGTTGAAACAACATCTTTCAAATCAATTTCAAACAAGGGATCTTGGTAAACTCCGGTATTTCTTGGGTATTGGGTAGCCCAATCTAAAGATGATTTGGTGATTTCTCAGCGAAAATATGCTATGGATATTTTGGAAGAAACAAGTTTGTTGAACGCTAAACCAGTTGATACTCCTATGGATCCAAGTGTCAAACTACTACCCAATCAGGGGGAGCCTCTATCAGACTCGAGAAGGTATAGGAGATTGGTTGGAAAGTTGAATTATCTCACAGTCACTCGTCCAGACATTTCTTTTGCAGTCAGTGTGGTAAGCTACTTCTTAAATTCCCCTTGTCAGGAACACATGGATGCTGTTATCCGGATTCTAAGATACATCAAATGTGCTTCAGGAAAAGGTTTAGTATATGAAGATAAAGGACATACTCAGATAGTTGGATACTCTGATGCTGATTGGGCAGGATCACCAATTGATAGACGATCCACCTCTGGGTATTGTGTACTTGTTGGAGGAAACCTTATATCCTGGAAAAGTAAGAAATAAAATGTAGTTGCAAGATCAAGCGCCGAGGCAGAGTATAGGGCCATGGCAATGGCAACATGTGAACTCATTTGGTTAAAACAGTTGCTCAAAGAACTTAAAATTAAAGAAGCAAGACCAATGACACTTGTATGTGATAATCAAGCTGCATTGCACATTGCTTCAAATTCAGTCTTCGATGAGAGGACCAAACATATTGAGATAGACTGTCACTTTGTCAGAGAGAAGATTGAATCTGGCGACATCGTCACAAGCTTTGTCAACTCTAATGATCAATTGGCAGATGTGCTTTCAAAATATCTGCGAAGTCCCCGAACTAATTATATATGTGGCAAGCTTGGTGCATTTGACATATATGCTCCAGCTTGATGTTGGTGATTTTAGTATCACCAATGTATTTTAGTAGTAATGTGATTTACTAAAGGCCGATGCAATTATGCGTTAAGCTTGGAAACGAGTTAGGGAAGTGCGGAGTGCACGCTCGTCGAGTCAATGTATAATTGAATATGAATAATTGAAACGGGGTTCCAAGGGGCGAAGCCCCTGGCGGGGTGCGGGGCAGCGCCCCGTTGGGGTCCAACCGACATAACCGACATAACCGTTTTCGAACAGGTGTGTCTTTTCGGTTTCAGTTATTGATCTCCTATATAAGGAGTCATTTGGCCTCGATTTCAAAAACGAAAAAAAAAATAATACTTTCTCTCTACATTTGTAATCAGTTTTCTTTTGCCAGAAACAGATTGTTATTCGAGAATTATCCCCACAAAGATTTCGTGAACCCAGGCAAGAATAGGGTCGAAATACTTTGTTCGGAAAGTGTACGAACACGATTCTTCGAAGTTATCCAGGATTATCATACCCAAATCTCTAACACTTGAGGGAGAGTGTTGATATTTGTAAATAAATAATGTTAAGAATATTTGTATGTAGAATAGTCCCACATCGATTATATAGTGTAATTAGTTGTAATCTCTCTATATAATAAAGTCTCCGTAGTGTTTTTAAAATACACGATTTAACCTAAATGTCTCTTAGTCTCTCCTAATTCAATACTAATGAATTTCTTACCACCTCTTAGAATAAGAGAAGGCTAACACGGCATATCAGTAGTACCTGTAATTTCTTGAGAAAAAGGAAATTCTGTCAACTGAACAGATTTTGCAACTTCCAGCATCTTTATTAGATTCTTATTTCCACTCATCCGAGCTTCATCAAGCGGAGTATTTCCCCATCTGTTTTGTAATGAAATGAAAAAGAACAATAAGTTTGGTTATAATGAAATGAAAAAGAACAATAAGTTTGGTTATGCTTAATGTAAGTAACAATGAAAAGGATAGAAACAGCAAAAAAACAGTTCAGCTAAGTGTTTGAAATTAGGGAAATATGGAGAAGGGAAAAGAGAAAAAGTCATATTTCACCTATAATAGACAATTTTGTGGAA